CGGTTTCGAAATATATAAATTTACCAAACACCTATATTTAGCGGTTTAGGTAAAATCACTAACCGCTACCCCAAAACCGCTATACCAAATGGGGCCTAAACATAGTTTTGAGAAGCACTTTTTTGTTGAAAACCTTCCTTTCTTGGTGCTAATTTTAAGTTCTAGTTTGTTTATGGTTGATGTTAGAAATAGAAAAGAAGGGGAATAATTTGAAGAAAGATTTATTATTTTCTTGTTTTCATTATACATACAAGAGTCATATATATAAATCTATACAACAGAATATTTTTAGGTATAAAACTATACAATAGACTATTTCTAAGTATAAAACTAATTAACTTAAATGTATGTAATCAATTACAATGTAAATATAATATTTTAAAATAAATACTGATATTCTAACGGTTAACTTCGAAATATTGGGGCAATTTGAAAACTTTCTTCCTTCAAAATATTTTATGTTCGTTTGATGTGTGCATTCTTGAACTTTTTTTCCTGCTGTAATTTCTCATTTCAGTATTAAAATGCAAAGTTCTCAACTACTCAAGAAATGCAATTGTATTTATAAATCTGGAGATTTGCAAATGTTTTATATATATATATATATAGATATATATATATCTGGTTAGCTCCTGGCCTCCTGCAAATGTATATGAGCTTCCAAAGAATCCGAATCCTCCAAACCTGCGTGTTCATAATTACAGAACCTTGGGCTGTTTCCTAATGCTCTTTATGGGGGAACTCTGGTCATCGGTGATTGAAGCCAAGAACTCAAGAGTTTTGGTCAGAATGTAACTTGCTTTAATTCTATCATCTTTATTAGGGCGTGGCAGCTTGAAATTTATTTTTCATATAAGAGAGGAATTGCTTAATAAACTAGTTTACTAATTTTATTCAAGATTTAACAAATTATTATAGTTATTAGAGAAAAATAATAACAAAAATAATTTTAATTCTATTGAACATGTTTATGGTTTTAGTTGATAGTTGAAAATTTTCTTTAAACAAAATTTTAGTTTTGATTTCTAATAGTTGTAAAAGTTTTTTAAACTAAAAAAAAATCAAAAATTATAAGAGTATTAAATGTATTTATTTTTATTTTCATTTTTTGCCCTTGGTATCTTTGAAAAAATTTCTCAAGTTTTTAATAAACAATTATATATTTTAAGAAAACAAAATTAAATGTGTTATTGGACACATTGTCCTCAACTGGAGTTCCAGGGGGAAAAATACGCTAGTTTTTAAAAATATGCTAGTCAATAGAAAGGTAAATGAGTTAGCCCATGAGTAATTTTTCTAAAATTTTTAATGATTTTTAAGATAAGTTAACAAACATTGTTTAAAGGTACTAACGGAAGTTGATAGAAGAACTATAAATGACTAGGTTTTTAAAGAAGTTTGATCTTATTTAGTATAAGAAAAGACTTTAGATATTTTTTTATATATCTCTTATTTGTTTGAAGATTTAATTAAATTTTTAAACAATTAAAAAATAAGTAAAAAAAC